TCATTGTTACATCTTCAGTTTGTAATAAATAAACAGTCTTCAAATCATAATGCAACTGGAAGCATTTCTTTTGGAAACCAGGAACACGCGTCAGCCATAGACTCTTCTTTTTTGAACTTGGTTTATTGGAAATTACCCTACAATGATTGTTCAATACTGTACAAAAACTTTAGGAATTAATTGTTTCAAATGTGATGTCATAGATTTCTTGGTGTTTTTGACAATTCATTTGGTACGAAGTGAAGCAAAAATGTTTTCTTTTGAAGGGCCTTTTACATCGGCCGTGCGCTGCACTCACTGCTTGTCATTTCAAAACGTGTTTCTCTGACGTGAGTTTGTGTCCTATTATGTTCAAATGTTGATAAAAACATGTATCGCTGGTTCATAAAGAAGAAAACTTTGTAACTATCCCAGCTGGTGAAGAGTGTGTTGTTTCCACAACACTGCTTCTCTCGGAGGTCTGCAGAACCTGCGGCAAACAGTTCACCAAACTCTGATACGTACAGAATGTTCTCCTTCATCATGTGGTTGAACTCAGCGCAGCAGTACTCTTCGTTTCTGTTCCTCGCACAACAATACGTCACAAGTGTGCATGTGCTGTGCTTTGCTCGGTGCAGCAGGAAATCATTATTGTGTGGCACAAACAATAGACACAAATGGGTTCCAGAGTGCAGCGCGTGCATATGTGAAAGGGCCTTCAGTCATCATTATTGAATCTTTAGTCACTGCATCTAGATGAGTTTGTAATACACTGTAAATAATGTTCTCTTCCTTAGACATGCGCAGAGGTGTCCAAGAGATTTTCCGTATGACTCCCCACGAGAAGCAGGTCATGATGTTCAGCGCCACCCTGAGTAAAGAGATCCGTCCAGTCTGCAGAAAGTTCATGCAAGATGTAAATACGCCTCTTCACTTTCATCTGCCATGCCTCTTCCCGCTCCCTCCACACCTCCACTACTCCTTCGCCTGCTGGAACAGTGGGTAACAAAGTCCAAGTCGATGTTCAGCCTCCATGAGTCCAAGTCACAAGAAAGAAGTGTGTGTGTGTTTACTTATCTTTCTGGGGACCAAAAAGTGGAGTTTTACTATACTTGTGGGGACTAACAGCTCTTATAGGGACAAAGTTCCCGTCCCCACAAATTTGAAGGGATTTTCGAGGCTCAAAATCTTGTTTTAGTGTGAGGGTCACAGTTAGGTCATGGTTAGGTGTAGGCTGAGGGTCAGGCATTCATCTTTGATGGTTAGGGTAAGGGGCTAGGGAAAGCATTATGTCAATAAGATGTCCCCACAGAGATATGAAAACACAACTGTGTGTGTGTGTTACCTATACCAAAGCCTTCCCTCCGTCTCCTCGCTGCTTCCTTTTCACTTCCACTGTATTATGTTTGATGTTCTCTTTGTGTGCTCTTCCCTGAATCTTGCCAACCTCCCTTTTCAAACTCCTGCCGGTCCAGCCTATAGAAATCTTTGTAGATGACAAAACCAAGCTAACTCTGCATGGGCTGCAGCAGTACTACGTCAAGCTGAAGGATAATGAGAAAAACAGAAAGCGCTTCGAACTCCTGGACGCACTAGAGTTCAATCAGGTACCCACACCATACCTTCCCCACAGTGTAACCCCCCTGTGGACATTTTTGTTTTCTCTGTTTGCTTTTCTGTTGATGGGAATTAGATTGCTGCGTTTTATGTTCATGTCTTACAAGCATGTTACTGTGGGACACACTTGCAGATCCTGCTAGAGAAGCATTAGTTATTTCAAAGATCAAAATAAATGTTATTTATGCTACTTGTGTGCAACCCCTCAGCTCATCAACTTCCTGAAACCAGGCTCTATTCTTCTTCTGATTGGCTACACCTCTCAGAAAGAAGGGTTAGGGTTAGGCTGTGTGCCAGAGGACATCTCCTCACATTTACAGTTAAAGAAATACTTATTAAGATATGTACAGGCGACCGTGGCTCAGGGGGTTGGAAATCGCATCTGTAACCGGAAGGTCGCCGGTTCGATCCCCGGGCTCTCTGTCCTGGTCGTTGTGTCCTTGGGCAAGACACTTTACCCTACTTGCCTACTGGTGTTGGCCAGAGGGGCCGATGGCGCGATATGGCAGCCTCGCTTCTGTCAGTCTGCCCCAGGGCAGCTGTGGCTACAACTGTAGCTGCCTCCACCAGTGTGTGAATGTGAGAGTGAATGAATAGTGGTATTGTAAAGCACTTTGGGTGCCTTGAAAAGCGCTATATAAATCTGTTAGATTTGTATTGTTGATTGTCATTTATGCTTAGGAATATTTACTCACATATGCTTAGAGGTGTATAATCATTTGTAGATTGAAAGGATGTCTCATCCTAAAGAGGTCTGTATTAACTCTGTGTAGAGGGGGGTGCGTACATTCCTCTACACAGTGTCCTGGCATGGCACACCTCCTAGGAGAGGTCGTATCTTCTCTTGCTGATATATGGTATAGCAAACACACGTATATCTGTTTAAGTATAAGAGCCCTTTGTTCAGATAGATCTGCTAGACGCCTGGCACCAGCTAGCACCAGAGTCTTCACAGGGTCACACCTTGACCTCACACACACACACACACATACACACACATACACAGTATTCTTTGTTCACATGTATACCTATGTAGACGTCATATGTTAATGAACTTATGCATATTCATGTAACCTCAATAAAAGAACAGTGGTACGGGAGAACGGACGAGAGCAACTGGGGTCAGGCGAGGGAACGGCGTCTGTCCGGTTCTCTCCCGTGCACGAGAAACATGAAGAACTTTGCCTGCTTGTGTCTTGCTTTGCAGTGTAATTATATTGTCCTCAACGTTCCAGCGGATAGGTTCAAGCTACAAACCTATCAAAATCCAATCCATTATTATTATTATTATTATTATTACAGTATGTGTGTGTACAGACAGAAAAGTATAAGGGTCCTCCTAAAGGCCTTACTATGCTTCAGTGTGAGGGAGCGAGGGAAACAATATACTTTGGTCATGTGAGTATGTGAGGGTCCACCAGAGTGAGGGGTGCGCCCACCCAGTATTTGTTAGATATCAGACCAGTACAGACTTTAATACCTGAATCATGTATATTTGACAACAGGGCCAACAGTTCACTGGAGTTCTGTCGTTACCATGTCAGCAGCAGAGTTAACAGGACGTGGAGGAAACCAACAGGACAGCAGTGTCATAACTGCTAATCCAACAGGTTCTGCTTGTGCAGTTTGCGAGCTTGTCACTGAACAAAGAAACAAGTCGAGCGCTAGTGAGTGTCAAAAAGCATGGCTGACGGTGCTGTCCTGTTTCTCTCTGTCTCTTTTGTCCTGGTGTTGTTCTACATGAAAACTTTTTGATTCTACTTAGAGTAAAGTAATAAATAGCTGTTAATGATCGATTGTCTCCAAGTGCAGATGAGGGGTGCACACAGTGAAACAGACACACACAGGAAGCCGACAGGACTTAATGTCCACTGTAGCTGAGTGATTGTGTCGCTGTGCTGCTCAGGTGGTGATCTTTGTGAAGTCCGTCCAGCGTTGTGTAGCTCTGGCTCAGCTGCTTGTGGAGCAGAACTTTCCAGCGATTGCCATCCATCGAGGGATGCGCAGTGTGAACCTTTAGGAAATGGCTCAAATGTAATCAGCTGACAGCGAGCTTAGCTCCATGCAGCTGCAGTCTCTTTCTTGTGGCCAATTTGATTCAGTTTTATTTATATAGCACCAAATCACAACAACAGTTGGTACTTTATTTTGTAAAGTAAGGACCCCACATCTTTATGCTTTCTACTATATAATAATATTATGAAGAAGGAAGCAGGAGGCTTTTATTTTTTTCACTCTCAGACACTTTTATTTTGTTAAATTAATGCGTTGTGATGATTATACCATCGCAAACATGAGTTCTTATGGTGTTGTGTGCTCTAAGATGCAGTGCTGTGCAAAAGTCTTGAGCCAACCATTGTTAAGACAATGGTGCTGTCATATATTGAAACGTGCAAACATACCGTAAAAGGAAATACAGTACATTAAAACACAGTCTGTACAGGTCTGACAAGATTAAAAGCCAGAATCCGGTATTCTTCAACACAGTCTGATCTCTCTGAGACAGCTTCCTTTATGAGTACTCAGGAGCAGTTCTCCAGGCTTCCCAAAGGACATTCAAAGGTTTGGGGAGGCCTTGACTGACTGTCCTGTGAGGATGTGCATTAGATGGAGAAAGATATCCACAGACAGGAATGACTTCCTGTGTCCTTTAGTGGTGCATTATGGGTAATCTTAGTCTCTCAGTGACTGACCAGCTCATCATGAGTGGGTGGGAGGTCCAGCATTGTCCTGACCTTGGACAACATCCGCCTCTCAGACACCACCTTATTAAAGTCTAGCTCCATCCCCACAACATCACCCACCCTACCTTGTTTTACCGATGGCTGTAGGCACTCACTGTTGGACCTCCTGATCCTTTCCATACATATTGATGACCACAAATATTAGCATAGTGTGCATTGGGTCCTTCACAAAAATTTGAGGAAACTGTACGAGTGACAGGATGTCTGTTGGCATCTAAAACCCTCAACCTGCTGTCCCAGTATGCAACAGCACAGAGGATAGCACTGGCCACAGCAGACTCATAGAAACACCTGTGTGTTGTCCGACAGATGTTGAAGACCTCAGAGACGACTCTGGCCCTTCCTGTAGAGTGCAGTGGTGTTTTTAACCCACTACAATTTATTATCAGGTGTACTCTGAGGTATTTATAGTCCTGCACATCGACCCCCTGGATTGAAACAGGGCTCACAGGTTTCCCGGTCCTCCTAAATCTGTTAGTCTTTGCTACGCTGAGTTGCAGATGATTCTGCTCGACCACAGCCCAATACTCATCACCCTCACTGATGCATCCAACCACTGCAGGATCATCTAAAAGTAAAAGGTCTGTGGTGTAGATGGTGAAGAGGAAAGTGGAGAGGACTGTCCCTTGTGGTGCCCGTGTTGCCGATCACCTTGTCAGACACACAATGTTGAAGACGCACGTTGTGATCCTCCTGTCAGATAATCAACAAGTCCACAAAGCAAGCTCCATATAAATAAGCAGCTTTGATGTGGAGGAACTTGACTGGCCTGCACAGAGTTCTTAGCTCTGCCTGACAGAACACATGACTGTACACTCAGCTGCTCCTCTGTCTCTGCGCCTTCCACTCTCTACACCCATGGACTTAGCGTGCTACTTAAATAGGGAAAGACAAGGTGGAACAATGAGGAACAGCTGTGGCCTTCAGCCTCCTCCAAGCACTGCTCCACCCCTCCCCTGCAGCTGAGCCAGAAACCACACCCCGTCACAAACACCTGTGGGATAAATTAAAGTGGAGACTACGAGCCAGTCTTTCTCATCCAGCGTCAGTGTCTGACTGATGTCGGTGACCAGAAATCCCATAAATACACTCAAAAAAAGTTGATGTCCAAGAAAAACTTTGAAAGTCTTTCAGGAAGCTGGAGAGCTGTTACTCAAGACCACTTCCAAAGTTCCAAGAAGGTCTGTGTCATTGGGAGAAAAAAATGCAAAGACATGAGTGGAGACATTTGCACAGTACTGTGGGGATGTTGATCAACTCAGCAGCCCAATACACAAATAATGAAACTTTCAATGTGAGGATATGTGACACACAGACTAAGCTTCACTTATTGTCCTCTGTAGTTTGTCTCGCTACCAGCAGTTCAAGGACTTCCAGAGGCGAATCCTGGTGGCCACCAACCTGTTTGGACGAGGGATGGACATTGAGAGAGTCAATATTGCCTTCAATTATGACATGCCAGAAGACTCTGACACTTACCTTCACAGGGTGAGACTACCCATGTGTTGTTCACCTGACAGGCTAAAAGAGTAATAGAAATATATGTGAAAGCTGCACAAGGTCATATTTGTGACTTATTGGATGATGTACAAATACATATTTAAGGAGATGCTGAGGAATCTGAGCTCTTTATTAGATAGACACAGGTGTGAGGCATTTATTAATGTTATAATCAGCTGAGCAGGTAGTAGCTTTTCCCAAGAGTGGCAAGGAGGGTCTCTGTCCTGCACCCAGGCTGGAAGGAAGTCTTCTGTTGAAAGAGGACTTCATAGGACAAACACGGGTACGGAAAAGAAAAGGCAGATCAAATACTCTGGGACAGCATTTATTCACTAACATTAACCTATACCAGAAAAACACGGAGAGGGCTTCTATCAAAGCCATACTATATTGTCTTATACTTATCCTGTACTGTGATTAGTTTGCCCTACTGTGCTGTAGTCTGTGATCCTGACTGAGTAATGTGGTCAGCTGCACTGGTGTCTTGGTGTAGGTTGCTCGAGCAGGCAGGTTTGGAACGAAAGGCCTGGCCATCACATTTGTGTCTGATGAAGGTGACGCCCGCACGCTCAACGATGTTCAGGACCGCTTCGAGGTGAACATCGGCGAGCTGCCGGAAGAGATAGACATCTCCTCGTACAGTAAGTCTTCTTTCGTTTCTTGAATTATTGTAAGGTTCATCCAAACTAACAGCACTGTGTGTGTGTGTGTGTGCTCCTGCAGTTGAACCAGCACGATAAACGAGCCGGACGCTCCAGTTGGACTTCGATTCACTTTGCAGTTTTACTCTGATGGAAGATGCAGACTGTGTTTGTATGAAACCTGGCACGTCCAACAGCAGATATTTACCCAAGCCTGTGCTTATTGAAAGGAAGAACGCAGGGGCACAGCTCCCTCTGCAGGAATGATTCAGAATAGACTTTGTATGATATGATTTAAGTTTCTAATGTCGGTATTTGTTAATATATAATTCAAGTTATCTGGTTTTCTAGGTGTGAGTGGAAGTACCAGAGGTAGTTTAGTACTGACAGTAGAAAGGCACTGTTTACTGCTGTGGATTAATAAAGTTTGCCTGGTAAGGTCTCCTTTATTCTTCATCTTCTCCTTTTTTAAATCCACATCCACACTCGTGCTGTTGGGATACATGCACAATGTGTTTGTTATCGTCTGACACTCAGACTTGTCAGGATGGCAGCACAGTTTTCTTTAAAACCTCTACATACCATTTACGGTGCGTTCACCAATATTCACGGCATAGGTGTAAATGGAGCCTCATAATATCATGCATGTGGGATTTTTAACTGCTGACAGGAAGTTTGATTCCTTCTCTAGAGCACACACCCATCCATCGTTTCCAAAAGGAATCTCTTATGTTTAATATCATTTGGAGTTAAAATTAGTTTAGATTCGTGAGTCTTTGTGATTTTACTTTCAACATGTTAGTATGATCTGTTGTATATTTGTTTTTAAATCCAAGCCTTGTTGAAGACAACATCTTGGACCATGTATGCTTGTGAACAGCACCTTTTAAATTTGAGTATCTGACAGTCCTGCATGCAAAGGTTTTTTCACAGCGCGTCGGCCACCTTAACTCCATGAATCAACTGAAAAACTGAGGAAGCTGAACGAAGACGTCTCATCACAGCTCGTTTGGCACAACACACAATAATGTCTGTATTGTTTTCCATTCTTTAGACGTGGTCTGGTCACATAGGGTGTAGTTCCCTGTGTGCTTTTTAGTGTGATCTTCAGTCAGTGCAGCTATTACGCTCCAACTAAGGAGTGATCACTGTGGACACGCAAAATTTCCTTCAATATATGGACAAATATCAAAATAGTGGATTTTATTTGTAATGTAATAAAGTTATAAACACATCAGGCAGTGGTTTTACACATCACCATACAGAAGTGGGCATCAGTCAATCATGAAGATAATCTCCCAAAGCTAATTACAGTACAGTGATAATCATCTGTAGCTACCTCACAGACCTCCTGTTGCAGAAACTATCAAACACTGGTTGCTGTTTCTATAAACTGCAGTTTGAAGCTGTTTCAGGGCGATCATGATGTCAGTGAAATTTGAAGTTAATTTGCAGCTTTACATCCTTCATAAACCTACAGCTTGACACACCTGCAGGGAGCGTGGTGGAAAAATACTGTAACCCTCTGAAATGTAGTGTTTTTCAGTAAAGCATGGCTGTGATTCACACTGGAGTGACAGGTGGTCTACTCAAAGTTTTTCTTTTTAAGATTAGAGGTCTGCTCGAGCAGGACTAGAGCTCCATTTTTAAGCAGCTTTCTGAACCAGGAAAGCCACTAACCATCCCCACAGACTAACCTACGTGAGGGCTTGTGGGCAGGTATCACTTTCTTCTCAAACTACACTTTAACATTATTCACACAAGTTCATCAGAGTTCGACAGGATGACGGGCTCTGTGGAGTCTCGTTGCCTATGTTGGTTTGATAGTGACGACTTCGTGCACTCACGCACCTGCTGTTTGTCCCGTGTAAACGCTTCTAACAATGTCTCCTCACTAAAACAGCGGTTTCTCACCAGAGCTTCATTCTTTGTGGAAACAATATTTAGTAGATTCAGGTGTACACTCTTGTTTTATATCTGAAACCTATTATTACTGTTATTAGACGTCAGACCTTCAGACTACATCTGGTTATTTGGCATCCACACCTCTGTATTTGTAGCACTCATGAGTAAAAAATGTTGTGCCTTGTGACTGAGAGACAGTAAAGCAAGTACTGCACTGCTGTCAGTTAGTCCTCAATCCAACCTACTGTTTGACCTCCCTAAACTTTAAAAATGGCCTGTTTACTACCACAGACTGTATATAAAAGATGCACGTGTTGCCTGCATTCTTTCCAAAGGCCAGCAGGGGGCAGCTGCACAAAAACTTGAAAAACCTCTTTGTTGATTTAAGGACTCAGTAAAAACCTTCCTGATGATTCTGAGGATAAATCACAGCATGCTTTACTTGTTGGGTTACCTTTTGATTTTCACATGAGCCTGCATTGGTCCTCAGCAAGATCTCCAGCCCAGAAATCAAGGGGAAAGAAGTAAAAACAATTGAAGCTGTGTTTATTTACTTCAATCGGTTCATGGTCACAAATCATTTTCCCTGCTTTTGTCTCTGTAGTCACATCTGTGAGCTGTAGGAAGGCGGAGGGAAACACTGCACAGTCAGATTGACCCCTCACTTTGTTCAGCTGATGTTTAAAATGGTCAGCTCGAGGCTTCAGTGTGTCCATCTTTTATATACAATCTAATGCGTGATGCCTTCTACAAGCGTTACAGAAGCCAAGAGGTGGATAAGAAGGTGTTACATAGGACACTTCTTTCTCCCAGGTGTGAACGGTGATTAGTGTGCTTTCAGTGCAGAGTCTGACCGATTCTAGGATTTCACAGTATCTGCTTACTTTTTGTCTAGTATGTGCAAATTGATGATGTTCATAGCAAAATGCTCGGGGAGTCATTACAAATGTGTTATCATAGTTTATCTAGCAGAGTGCTTACTCTTTCTGCATCACAGACTAGCCAAAACTAAGACCCACCAAAAAACAAACCTGCATTGATCCAATACCTGTCAGGCTCCACTGCAGTGTACCATCACTCACACTGTTGATAATGACATGATTACCAGTAGCTGCTGCAAACATCTGAAAGTGATGTCAAGTCTATATTTGGCCAGTTTGTCACAAGAAGAGAGAATACACCAAACAAAATGAGCCCAGAAAGCAAGGCACGCCGACAGCAGCCGTTTAGTTTAAGGATGGAATGGCTTCAGCCAAAGTGGGACCGCTCTGAAGTCTGTGTGGCCCACACGTGCCGATCCTCAATGAGCGTCAGTTTTAGAAGCTCGGCCTTCCAGCTCCACGTTTAACTTTGAACTCCTGCGTCCACCGTATTCTTTGGTCTGAGAGGGTGTTCCTCTGATTAAGGCTCTGTCCCCTCTTCAACACCATTTGGACCGCATCTGGGTCTCTCAGCTCCAGCTGGTGTCATACTGCGACCAGCCCTCTGGTGGAGCTAAGAACACCCTTCGACCACGGTACAGGAAGTTGACCACACCTCTATAACCTGTACGAGGAACTCCTGATTTTAAGTCATCCATTACTCCCAGATTTCGAGCAAAGACTTTAAAACTGTCCCTGGTGGAGTACTGCACCCTGTACGGCCCAGGTCCTCTTAAACTGCCCCCTTGTTGCAGATCCTCAATCTTTACCAGTGGGGCGCTATAAACCTCTTTAATAAACTTTTCCTCATACTTCTCTTTTAGCAAATAAGACAAATCCAGTTTGGTAAAAGGCACAAATTCAGTGTTTAGCTTAATATAACGAAGGTACTGGTCAAAGAATTGACCTAAGCTCACACCTTTCCGGCCAAAGGTGATAGTCCGAGAGATTTCTGGCCGAATGCAGGAGCGGCCGTTGCGCTGTTCCGGCTGACGCATCCAGTCGTCCCAGAAGGCCGATGGCCATTTGGGCTCCAGTTCATCCCACATCTCTTTCAGCAGCATCCAGCCCAGACCAGGGAAGAAGTCTGTCCTGTAGAGGAGATCAGCTTTGGACGAATCCACCAAGGCGTCTCTGCCATTATCGTTCCAGGCAGAAACGCACCACAGGGTTGGGTCAGAACGCAAGATTGGATACAGGGCTCGGAAATACTCGAAGAAGTCAGGTGCGACCTGAAAGAGAGGAGACAGATGAAGAGTAATTCTGCTGCTTCAAACACATAATCACTGCCTCAAGTGTAACGATCCAGGTATTATTTACCTATTTATTAGACATTGTTTTACTATCTGTTCTTCTCCGATGGTCACAGACAAGATGCCAATCCAAATGTCCTTTGTTCTTCTAGTCTGTTAGCCAACAACAACTACTACTGTTCAACCTGAAACCATTTAAATGTTTGCTCACCACAAAACGAACGGGCCTGAAAAGAGTATTCTAGTGTACGACAGCGCATGTTCTGGCTTTGTAGGTTCATATTTGTGAAAGTACTGTAGCATAAACAAGCCAACAAATACAGCAGACAAAAGCTGAAGCAGGGAGCTGAGTCCCATCATTTTCATTCCCAGGTTACCCTACACATGCTGTTATTGGTTTGTAGTTTGCATGCAACATGTGACATTTACATTTTCCCTTCCTCCATGTTAATTGTTTTTTCGGAAGTCGAGCGTTCACTTTTTGCTTTGCCATCTGAGAAGATCTTGATGTTCTTGATGTTCACTTCAGGACTGATTTCTGTGACTTCTTAAATCAGTTGAATTTCATGGTTGCAGTCCTACAACTTTTTGATTGTAATTCTTGCATAATTTCTCATGCTTGAATGTCCTACATGAGGTCCTTAATAATTCTACAAAAAACTAAAAAACAAACTAAAAAACAAAACAAAACCTAAACTGATGAGCGTTCAGTTTATTCAAGATGAAGCATTCTGATTAGTGTTTAGTAGAACGAGGCTACCTGCAGCCGAATATCAAAGGTTTGATTGCTCCGTGACAGAAGACTTGATCCTGGCATGATGTACCTTGCCTATACTGGTCACTTTCGTGATATTAATGCGGTAGAGGTGTGCCTGTCTGTTGGGTTGGTATGTGCATAATGCACACCATGGAGACATTAAGGACACATATGTACAAATGCGTTTCATAGACTTCAGGTCAGCATTCAGCACAATCATTCCTCAGCACCTAATTGGAAAACTGAAGCAAGAACGACGAGTCAGCATACAGAGAGGAGGTGCAACAGCTAACAGAATGGTGTAGAGTCAACAATCTGTCTCTGAATGTGGACAAAACAAAGGAGATGATTGTTGACTTCATGAGAGCACGGAGAGATCACTGCCCACTTAACATTAATGGATCCTCTGTGGAGGTCGTCAAGAGCACCAAATTCCTTGGTGTCCACCTGCCGGAGAACCTCTCCTGGTCCCTCAACATGAAAAGCCCATCTCCTTCCATCCATTCTCACCACCTTCTACAGAGAGACTAGCAAGAGCATCCTGAGCAGCTGCATCACTGCCTGGTATGGTAAGTGCACCGTATCAGATTGCAATACCGTACAATGTGATAGTGAGAACAGCCGAGAAGATCACTGGACCCTCTCTTCCCTCCATCACGGACACGTATAACACCCACTGCATCCACAGAGCCACCAGCATTGTGGAGGACCCCACACACCCCTCACAAACACTCTTCACCTGCTGCCTTCTGGAAAGAGGTACCAGAGCATCCTGCCCCTCACTGCCAAACTGTGGAACAGTTTCTTCCCCCAGGCTGTCAGACTCCTGAACACTCAGTGACTGGACTGACACACACACACACACACACACACACACACAGCTCAGTCTTTTTGCACAACCCACTGTGGTTGTTGCACTTTCCTGTTGCACTGTTGCGTGTCTGCATCGTTCTGTCCTGTCTGGTGTTGCACTGGTTTTGTAATTTTTGCACACTTGCACTTTCTGTAGTCCTGTGCTGATTGTCTGTTATATATAGCACCTTTATCTTAGAGGAACGCTGTCTCGCCTCACTCTGTGCTGTACCACTGTACATGGTTGAAAGGACAATAAAGCCCCTTGACTTGAACTAGGGTAGGGATCAAACACACTAGCTGTTATTAATTACCAACTATTAATTTAGAGGACTGGGTAATGAATTTTCCCAAGGGGCTACATGAGAGGAAAACAAAC